GTTCCGGCGCTTTTTCCACTTCAATCGCTCGCAACAGCAGTATTTTCGGATTCATTTTAAGTTACACTTTTGAAAACTAAGCGGTGATTTTTGCTGGAAATTTGCAAATTTGTAGAGAATTGAATTTGGAATCAGTCGTGAAGGTCGAGCTATGGGCTATTTTTCCTTGCCACTTTTCACCACTACATTATTCTATGCGCATTTGCAAAGCATCTTCCTCTCGTTCTCTCGTCACTCAGACGCGTGCGTACAGTAATGCTTTTCGGTTTGTGTCACCGAAAGCGATCGGATTGCCACGTGCTTCCACGTTAATCAAAGAGAAGATCTATCCGTCAGCGTGATATTTGCGCTGGGAACAATCAATCTCTAGCATAATATCTTCGTGCGCACTTCAACGAACGCGTCAATTTGAGATTATCGATTTTTCGAAGAATCGTCACACTGCGCGTGATGTATGTGTGTTTGGCATATCGTTTCTGTATTATGATAGCGGTTCCGATAGAGTAGTTTTTATTGGATTTACACGCAGCGATTTCTTACAAAATAGTTTTTCGTGGAGTTGCTTTGAAACGTTTCGAACTCATTGTATCGCTGTCGTATTTGTATTCAGAATGACATTGTTATTCATTAATGCGCTAGGTGCGTGCATGTGAGTAATTTAGTAAGTTGTATTGATACTCCTTGAATCATCTGGAAAGTTTTCAGTGAAATAGATGTTCGTGAAAAATGGAGGTGGCCAGTACCAGCGGTATTCCAGGTCATCCAACTTTCACATCAACCGGTACTATACAGGTACCAGTCTTCCACCCAACTCTCAATGAAATGCTAGATTTTCCGGGATATTTGAATAAAATCGAGCGAGAACATGGTACCCATTTAATATGTGGCATAGCTAAGGTTTGGAGATTCTTATGTTTTATAACTCATGCTCTTTTTAGAATTACTTAAAACTGGTCTCTGACTAGGTAATTCGGATAATTAATGGTAAAAATAGATTTTTTGAACGGACAGAAAAACTTGAAGTTGCAATAAGCGAGTTTTAACTTTCTCTGAGATTATGTAAACATTCGTAAAATGCCCTCATCTTATAGTCTGTGAAACTAGTATATTAATGTGTTCACCGTATGTTACGGTTGAAACAGTTCATTTGAATTAATATCGGATTAATCAGGGTGTAAAATATTCTAGATTGTACCTCCAATTGGATACCGAATGAGGAAATGCGGTGATTATTCAGACGTTGACAATTACATTATTGAACAGTCAGTTTCTCTTTGATATTTGTTCTCATTGAGATGAGAATTCGTTATAAAAATTATTTCTTCGCTTAGTCTAGATAGAAGTGAACGTTTCATACCATCATGATTCGGTCGTTGGATGTTCATCACTATCCCAATATTCTGTTCTTTGGAAGTCAAAAATGTTTGTTACAATATTTGACGAAGTGTTTTTGCAGGCCTGTCAAGGAGAAAGTCCAAGGCCACGCTGGTATTTACTGCAAAACAAATAAGTTGTACCGTCGTTCGATGACTGTCAAAGAATTCCGCATCTTGGCCAACAAAATGCGTTTCCCAAAGGGCAAGTTACCACCTGAGGATGTAGAAAAGTATTCTTTTTTTTCTTCCACTGTTTGTCTTTATAAGTTCTCATTATATTGATATTATCAGTATGTTTTTAATCGTTAATAGCATTAATGCCAATTTTATTTGTTGTTATGGTTGTTTACGAATTAAGTGAATATTTTCAAGACATTATTGGAAGACGATCCTGCAAGGTGAGCCCATTTATGGAGCAGATACACCTGGTTCAATCTGTGATTCAGATTTGAAAGAGTTTAATATGAATCGTTTGGGAACAATATTGGATATGTTAAATGAATCTGGTGTAAGTTACCTTTTATCATACATCTTTTCAAAAATAGAATAGCAATAATGTTAACGACTATACTAGTGCTATCAGTGCACTTATCACTGTCGTATCATTAAGCTGAAATATTCTCTCTTCAATGATGATACAGGTGAAAATCAAGGGTGTTAATACTGTCTATTTGTACTTTGGCATGTGGAAAACAACATTCCCTTGGCATACTGAAGATATGGATCTTTATTCAATCAACTACGTTCATTTTGGTGAACCTAAGGTTAGTATGATAGGATTTTCTTGTTCTATTTTTTGTTTTGTTTGCGTAATGCATATTGCTAAAAAGCAATACGGAGGTCAGTCAATCTAGTATAATTGCAGTTTTGGTACGCTATAGCCACCGAGTCAAACAATCACTTCGAGCGTTTATGTGCTCAAAGTTTTCCGAATGCAGCCAAATCGTGTAAATCCTTCATGCGTCATAAGAATTTCATTATTTCACCACAAATTTTACGTCGGAATAATATTCATTTTGGCACAATGATACAATATGCAAACGAATTCATAATCACATTCCCAAGGGTTCGTTAATCATTTTTTGTCTATTAAGCCGGTAATTGATCTATTGTTCACGTCATGTATGCATTATGCGCTTTACCTACATATATCCATTACTGCGTTTTATCTACTATCTGGGAATATTCATTATTGTGTTTTATCTAAATATGTGAACTAGGAGTAATACTTGTCATTCGCTTGAATGTCTTACAGAATGATTTTTTATTTAGGGTTATCATATGGGCTTCAATATGGGTTATAATTGTGCAGAATCGACTAACTTTGCGTCGGATCGTTGGATCGATTTTGGTTGGTTAATTGTCTTGTTTGACTTGGTTATGAAGTAAGTGACTGAATGCTTATTTAGGCAAGAATGCAATGGTGTGTGCATGCCGTCCAGATAGTGTTGAAATTGATATGCGTCCCTTCATGAAACGTTTTCGTGTCAACGAGTTCAACGAGTGGCATCAGTACTGGTATGGTGAAAGAATTGTGAGAGATAATAAAAGTTATTATTCTTATTAACATTCTTTTTTAGATTTCTTTTCTATTCAGATGCTTTTGCATCACCCTATTTTTATGGTTAAGAAATGATCGTAATCAACGATCAGTCCAGTCGTAGATGATCATGAATATAATTGTAAATGTTCGAACACATGCACTTTCTGAAAATAAGTCAGAAAGAATGAGAAGTTACCCTCGGATCTTGGGACGTGTGGATACGCAGTATCGGTGTTCTGGTGTTTGTCGGACGGTATAATAATAATAATAAATAATGATGATAAATAAATAAGTACCAATAATAATAAATAAGTACCAATATTATTAGTAGTCTTAGAGGGGTGGTTTGTGGGGCACCGTGTAGAATAAATGAATTGATTAAGTAAAAGAAGGTAGAAATGGAGACATTTTGGTGTGAAAACACCAACTTCAGTACCTTGAACAAGTTACGCAAAGCGTTCAGTGGTGATAACAGCAGAGCATGGTCATGAATTGTATGATAATAATAACCGAAATGTGACGATTAGTTTGGTTTTAATGCCCAACATGTAATCTACCTACTTTTATTTCATTTATTCCGCACACTGCTCTCCAAACCACCCCCACACTACCGTTAGTAATATTCATTGGTATTCATCATTATTATACCGTCCGACAAAAATCACTTCACCAATACTGCACATTTACATCTGAAGATAACTTCTCATTCCTTTTGATTTAGCGCATATGCTCGAACATTTGGGTTTAAAAAATCGTTGACTATTTTGTGCTTCTCTATAATTCACAGGCTGTTGCCTTAATTAATCAGCATCGTCGAAAGGCATCACGCCTAATTATAATATTTTGGTGGTTTAAGTAAGGTTCATGTAGTCTTGAAATGAAATAGTTAGTTGTCATTTTACAATTGTTATTATGCAACTGAATGACCAGAACGAAGTGCGGGAACATCGAAGCGTCAACCAATACATGAAGATAATATCGCTGACATAGAGCCAACAAAGAAACAGAGACGTGGTAGTGAAAAGAATGGTGGTATTAGAGGGCCGTTTATTGACGACGTTCATAATGGTGATGCGAAAGTGGTATCAATTAATGGTATCGCTTATTTCATTGATGTACTGGCGTGTTGTTTTCGTGATTAGCGGTTCGGTAATGACTTCTCAAAACTGATTCGCTTCTGGGAAATAATTCAGTTGTTCTTTGATGCAGATATTGTGCAGTCAACAACCAACGATCTGGGAACTTCGATCGAATCGATCGCTACTAACAAATGGAAAAAAGAAGTGTGTATACTTATCGATGTTTCGTTCCAATTTTCAAATTCTTTTTAAATATTCATTTATGCCGTTCATTGCTGCACTTATGATAAATACACTATAGTCCAAGTAGTATTATATTCAGTTAATCCAAACTGAATTGATTAGAGGTTATTTACGTTCGTTATTTGTTCATTTCTTAAATTATCACTTCATTCTAAAAGTCAGTTGAAAATGATGTCAATTTTGTTCATCTGAAAGGTTTAATTATTATTTGTATTATAGACATTAAGCAGATGAATTAACGCACTATTAAGTCGTACGTGGGTCATTATAAATTAATTGTTATAAATGTCAGCAATGAAATATATAAATTAACAACGTAACTGCTATAAAACATTAGCAACAAAATATCACTTATTTTATTGATATCACTTCAGATGCGTGATCTGTGGTCGTATTTACCCGTAAACTTGTACGCAGAAAAAGAATTCAACAATCGTCGTGCATCTGAAGCACCGCATTGTGCGATCTGTCAGTACTTCGTGCCAAAACCACTTATGGAAAAACGAAATACACTACCAGCTACGTTGGTATTTCGTTGATTGACTGAAATGCATTTACTGACCTTATTATATTTGTCATTGTCATTTGATGGTGCTGTCGCTGTGGATAGTTATTGTTTTCCAAAAACGGAGATTGAATTTGAGTAATTAAAGCGTAACAAATTACAATGATAAATGTGTAAAACTAATGAAAGAACGTAATTGTAGCTCAAGGCGTATCGTGAAACGTTATCATTATGCAAAGATGAATCCCGACTTATATGATATAAAAGAGAGTGCTGATTTGGAAGATCGTCTATTGCGTTGTTCGAACTGTTATGTGGTCGTTCATGAAGGTTGTTATCCCGTCGGACATATACCTGCGGGTGCGTGCTCTTTTTTGATATGTACAATTGATTATTCGTATGACTGGAAGTGGTTCGTTTAAGACAAAAGCCATTGGCGATGTGTTCGTTGTCGTCGACGCGATGATTTAGCAGTTCGATCGACTTGCTGTCATCTTTGTGAATTGCGGGGCGGTGCACTCATTCCGGCTGAGAATGTTCGTGTTTATTGATCACTTGTTTTTGAGCAGTTGCATTGTTTATTCGTAATTGTTTATGTTCATTTAGATTAACATTTGACTTTTAGGCTGGTGGTGATTTTGTGCACGTTGTATGTGCACTTCTGAATCGTCGAACAATATTCCCGAATCCTATGACGCTGGAATCAGCGTATACCCGACCACCGATGAAACTGAATGCACCTATCAAATACGCAGACCGTCCAGATTCGCAGTATTTATCTGCTTTCGGAGTAACGCAAGAGCGTGGTAAATTTCAGTGTGAATATTGCAAGAATACGCGTGAAGGTGGTGTGTTCACATTTATTTGTTTACATTTCTTACTTCTTTTATTCCCTTCTTCAGTGCAAATTCTCATGCAACATACCGTAAAATGGTAGGTTTTTTACGGATTCAGTGATTTCATATTGCAATTCTAGAATATGCACACGGATTCTAATGACGATTAAAATGTATTAGAATCCGGATTAAATGTTCGAATCATAGAGAAATGGTATTGTTTGATGATGTTCAACAAAAAGATTTGTTTATTACATCAGAGTAAATGAAATACTTTCAGGTCTTTTGAAATGTTACGTGTGCGAAGAGACATTATTTCATGCGACGTGTGCACGCATGGCTGGTGCATCGTTTGAGTTCAGGAACTGGCCCGACCTTACCGTTGTTGTTTGTCCGGATCATAACGAAGGTGAACAAACATTCATCCTATATCTGCAACTTCTCCATTGAACACTTTATTCATTGAGATGTAATTTGAGAATTAATCCAATTTCTGAAAATGATAACGAATTGAAGTGGTGGACGATTCGCCTGCATTATCGATAGGTGACAAAGTGCGGGTGTATTTACCAGAGCAATGCTCGAATCGACTGTCAAAAGGTATCGTTAAAGCGGTGAAGATGCAAGAGTATTGTACGGTGAATTTTATGGATCGCAATTGGAGTGACGACATGCAACCAGAGGATATCATTGAATGCGAATGTTCGCGTATCAATTGTAATGGATGGCATATCCCTGGTGCCAAGGTTCATTCTTATCGTTTATCATTCACTCATGTTATGATAATTGTTTGTTTACTTTTCATTTGGTTGAAGATCAAAATAAAGTGGGACGACGGTACAGTGTATGAAGGTGTTTTTCGTAATCGTTATACGAGTTCGTTGGTAAGTGTCGAATTAGTGAAGCCACACCAGCATTCATCCAACTTGGTTGAATTGGTAAACGTTAAAAGAGATGCGGTATTCGCGCGTGGTGAGCGCCTCGCTGATATCTCTTAACTGTTCGGTGTAGTGTTATGTTAATATGTGCATGTTTGTTCATTAATTCACATTTTAGTACGTTTTGTTTGACTCATTCATTCAACATTCTGCGAATCGAATCCAAAAGGAAACTCTCCGCGTCATTCATTTAGTAAGGGTAAAAAATGGTTTTCAAAGTTTGATTCCCCTAGGAGTGAATCTCAGTTTTGTATAATTCTCATTCGAACTAATTCTATTTTGAATGAACGTTGTATCCATAATTAACCTCCATTTCCAATTAATTCCAGCTTAAAAGAAGTGTAGCA